GGGGGGGGGGGGGGGGGATGTAGACTGCATCCAACAAGTTGATGACCTGTGAACGTACTAGATAGGTGTTGGTAGCGGGGTGAGTGGCGTCGACAATTCGAGTAGTACATTGCCACGCCCAAAATGTGCTCTCATATATCCTGGCGAACGCGCGCATGAAGCAGCAGCATCTCTTTGTTTGCGGCCTGCGCCACTTATGTATCGGGTGAGACTGTTTCGGTGATGTATTAACCTCACAAGAGGTCGACGACCGTCCTTCACACGGACGAAATACGAGAGTGCTCAAAGAGCGGCTCCCACAGCAAGGAGGGGCCCCGTGAATCATCGCGGTGCCCCCTACCAAACGGTATTCTTACCAGTCTGCGTGACACAGCATCATCCAGCACATGTATCCAACAACAATGTTCGCAGACCCACGAACACCCTCCCTGGTTCTTCACGCAAGTGACTAACCATCAACTGGGCAAGAACGCCCCTGGATACATCAGAAAATACGAACATGGTAATATATGGAGGGGAAACCCGGCGTCCGGGCAAAACCCCTCAAGAAAAACCCTACCACCACAAAAAACCGTCGCTATCACAGCGGATCGCAACGGCCGTACTTATTAGAAAGGCCAAGGCGAAGACCGGAAGGCGAGGAACTACGTTCCCCCGGACGATGGTCTCCCAACGCCCCCTACTCCTGCCATTGGTACGCAGATCGCAACAGTTATGCACCTTTCCTCGCATGGAAAACATGGCCTCTCCCAAGTGCTAGACCTGCTACAGCTACTCCGGCAAATTCATCAGCTTGCGCCGGTGATACTGCAGACTGGCCCTGCTAAGGGCCTTGGTGAGGAGGTCCGCGTGTTGCTCCGTTGTCGGGACAAACTTGACCGAAATGTCCCCCGACCTGAACAATCCGCGGATGAAATGAAACCGCACGTCGATGTGTTTCGTGCGACCTGAGCTGAGAGGGTTCTGCACCAACGCAATGGTCCCCTGGTTGTCCTCAAGGACCTGGATGCTGCTACCACTGGTCTCTGGGGCAACAAACGAAAGCACAGCACGCACAAACAACGCCTCCTTGACGCCCTCCCCGACAGCAATGTACTCGGCTTCGGTCGACAAAGACACGATGCTCTGCGTCTTGCTACCATGGCTGACTACGGTACCTCCTTTGTTGAGAGAAGCAAGCAACTCCTCGCAATCCTCGTCAGACCCAGCCACCAAAATATCATCCACGTAAATCACGATAACCATCACCACGACTTCGTTTCAAGGAGTGAAGCCGGGGGCGATGGCTTGCTCCTAGAGATAGATGAAGGTTCTGTCGTTGACACGCTTGTCCACGACCATGTTGAGATGGGAAAGTTGCTTGTTATT